AGGAAACACATCCATGAAGCTTGCATCAAACAAATGCTACTTCCATATGATAGGCATATAGAGAATTAAATTAGAATGGATTTAAAAAATGAAGCAAAGGGTGATCTTTCTGTTCCAACATGCTAATAAATGCTCGGCTGAGAACAGGGACGAGCACAAACAAAGCGCAGGGGCTCGGTAAAGAGCAGCGCCGAGCACAGGCAACACACAGGGGGAGAGGGAAGTACCTCCTTAAAGTAGAATCAAAAAAAAAATTGCAGAAAAGTATTCCCTAGCCAACTCCTCTCTCCAACAACAAGGAGAGTTCAAAAAAAAAAAACTTAAGAGAGTAGAGAAGAGTAATAGAGAAAGGTACTCCCCTGAAAATGATTTTCGGCCCCTTTAGAAGCTTCACTGAGGAACTCTCATATATGCTAAGGACAGAGGAGACAAATTATTGAAAAAAATCTCACAGAGATCGAGCGCAGAGGCGTGCCATACCGTTTGTGGCTCAATGAGCCAGCAAATGATGAGGAGGAATGGGCGACTGCGAGAGGAGCGCGGGAACCTTCGCTCCAACGGCTCGAGTTTGTGGGGTCATGCGAGGGACCACAACGACCAGAGTCGAGATGCGAGAGGGACGAACGCACGAGCGAGAGATGGAAACGGGAGAAGGGAAATGAAATTAGGGATTAGGTTTATATTTTTTATAATAAATAATAATAAAATATTATTTATTATTATAAATAATACTAAAATACATATCCTTCTCTAGGAATGCCGACAAAACAAACGTATCTCCTAGGCGAAATTGACGTTTCGGACGTATCGACGCAGTCTGTTTCGTCATCTAGAGTCTAGGCAACCTCGTCGTCGATCGGGTTAAAAATGCGTCGCGGTCCAAATCCTATCAAAATTTCAGCTCGAATTCGATTTCAGCTCGAATTCGATTAAATCGAATTCGATTAAACAGGACGGTGAAGAGCGCAGCGGGGCCAAATCAACGAGTAGAGTCAATCCTAAGGCCGACAATCTTATAGGAATGCTCCCTGAATTCCTTCAGAGTAGTCTTACCTGCTAAGCAATAGCGATCAAGACTACTACATGGAACGTCAAGTCGAGCGAACAAAAGTCCAGTATTGCTAACGGGGAGGGCTCCTTCACTAGTTTTCTAGGAGTAGTCGACAAAAAGGTCCTACGGCTAGATCCTAGGCTAATAAGGAGGGGAAAACTACACCTCGACTGAAAGCGAGGTCAACAAGGCTATAAATGAATATTCAGGGTTAAATAAAAAGGAGATGACAGTGTAGAGATGTTCAAAGCTAGGTTGGTAGCCAAGAGTTTCACAGTCATATGGGATTGAATATCAGGTAACATTTATGCATGTTGCCAAGCTCAACTTTGTTCGAGTTCTCCCGTGCAGTAAACAATGATTGGCCCTTTATATCAAGTGTATGTCAAAAATATCTTCTTGAATGAGGACATTGATAAAGAAGTCTATATGACTATACCTCAAGATTCAGAGAAAAAGTAGAACAAGTTGGTTTGACAGTTGAAGAAGTATTTATATGGCTTGAAGCATTCTCCTCATATTTGGTTTCACTGATTTGGTAAGACTCTGATTACAAATAGATATTAGTGTTAAGTTGATCATGCAATGCTTGTTAAATCTAACGCTAGAGGCAAAATTGCTATTCTCGTAGTATATGTAGATGATATTATCTTAACAAATGATGATTCAAAGAAAATTATCAGACTAAAAACGAAACTTGCAATAGAATTTGAGATCAAGGAACTCGTGAATTTACGACATTTTCTGGGAATGGAGGTAGCTCGGTCTAAAGAGGTAATTGTCATATCCTAAAGTATATTTTAGACCAATTAAGTGAAACTGACATACTTGGGTGTAAACCTAAGTGAAAGAAAGTTGTCTGGTTGACAAAAGAAGATATCAAAGATGTGTGGACAAACTACTTTGCTTATCACACATAAGATCTACTATTGCATACTCTGTCAGTATAGTAAGCTAACACAAGAATAATCCAAATAAGAATCATTATGAAGTAGTGAAGGATACTAAGGTACTTGAAGATGATCCCTAGATATGGTTTGCTCTTCAAAATATTAAGAAATAGCGAGATTGAGATATACACAATTGCTAATTGGGCAGGAGAGATAACAGATAGAAAATCAACTAATACGGTATTGTTTATATGTTTGGGGCAATCTAGTCACACGGAGAAGTAAAAAAACAAGTTGTTGTCTCTTGGAGTAACAAAATTTGAATATCATGCTCTATTACTATGATTATGTGAGAGAATGTGGATTCAAAGACTATCCAAGTGGCTTAAGGTTGAGATAAAAGACAAAATTAAGATGTTCAGTGATAGCCAAGCAGCTATTAGCATAACAAAAAATTATGTGTATCATGACAAAACAAGACACACTGAGATTAACTGACACTTTATCTCAGAAAATGTTAATAATGTAATTGTTCTGCTAACCTATGTTCCTAAATAGCTTCAAACTACTGATATTCTCATCAAAACACTACCAAGGGTCAATCATAATGAATTGAAGTCCATGTTTGGTTTGTACAATATCCGTATTAAGAAGGAATTTAATTTATTTCTTCAAAATATATTTCACTAATTGTATTTCCTTTATTGGATATTTTCTTTTTTTCCTTATTTTGGAAGGATTCCTATTTGGTTTCTTTTCATTATTATATATATATGGCAAAGAGTAATGCATGAAGTGAGCTCAATAAAATTCTTTTCACAAGTTTTACAGCATTTTTAATGAAGAAATGTATTTAGAAGAGTAAAATAAGCAGAATTATGAAGTTCCCCAAGGATGGATTGATGTGGGACAATTCGAGGATAAAATTTTTGAATCAACTTAGAATGTATAACAAACATAAATCACACAAGGGGCTTTTGATTAACAGATAAGAACACTAAAGAAGCCAAGAAATTGCACTTTTGAATTACAAACAAAAAACCCAAATGTTAATGTAAGGATCAAATAAATCTAAAGAAATTGACAAAAAAATTCAAACCATGCAAAATCAACAAGCAATTGAAATTTAATCACCACAATCAAATTGCTAGTTGTGCTAAATTTGAACAAAATTAAGAGCATTAGCAAACTAAAGCAAATTTTATAGACCAAATTAGATTAAGAAAAAAGTTACCAAAGAATAAAAAAATCTAAGTATTCATCAAGTAAAACATGATTTTCCAGAAATTAGGTACTCCCACTTATACCACAATGGAGGAATCATACATCTAACTTGCACTCACAAGATTGCATAAACTTTATTCAAATAAAGTTAATAATTAATATGTTCATATATTTATAGAGTCCTCATTCCGAGATTAGTAGATATAATTAATACAAGATCCACCCAATCAAATTCAAGATAAACCTCAAGTTCTCATTTAAACCTTATCCAAATATTAATAATAATAATGAAATCATAAGATAATTTTCCAATGAACAAATATTGACACCTTAACATGATAAATATTCTTGCCACGATACAAAATGCAATTAAGCTTCTCTCAACCAATCCAAATCTACGGGATTTCCACAACAGAAAAATCATTAAAAAAGGGAGTTGATACACCACCGAATCATATATTTAAAAAAATATGACCTGGCCATGAAAAAGATATGCAAAGGTAAAACTATATATCCAAATGATTGTTGATTGAAATTTAGAGAGTTATGAAAACGAAGTCACAGGAAAAAGTACTGGCACATAAGCTTACAAATTCCTTTGTCCCATGAAGGTCTATTTAGAGGTAAATTTTATGCCAGGTTAGTTAATAAAAATGTATACAAGCAATAATAGGATCTCCATATGATATTTCTTGATTTTAAAACCATATATGACTCAATACCATAAGAATTGATCGGATTTCGTACATGCATATATGATTTCAAACTAAATATAAATATTACCGAAATCCTAAACCCTAAATAAGCAAATTGAGGATAGGTTAAGTGAGCTAAAGGTAAATGCTGAACTCAATATATGATTCACAATTCAATATTAGAGTGTGACAAGAGCCAGATCAGTCAAAATAATCTGCAATCACGTCTACATCATTGGGAGTGATTATGGCTTAATATATCACAATCCGTATTGAGGCTCTCCTAAATCTATCAAATCATGAGAAATGCAAATAAAATTGTGGCATATCTCCCTCATCTTCAATTAGAATCAACGCAATGACCATTTCAATAGATTGGGTATAACTCCTGCATTTTTAATTGGAATTAAATTATCTTTAACTTCTTAGATTCAAATCTCAATCTTCTGAAATTTTTGTGAACACCACTTTGATTAATTCCAATCTTATGTGTTGCAAATCACTCATAAACTGAAAGCTATAGAAAATCTTTTCATAAATTTTGCATATATCCCGCATTGTTTATCAAAATCCCATGATTTTTAATTGAGAAATTTGTGACATAATTTTCTACAACTTTCTTTGATGGATTATAATCCCGTGATGCAACTCATGCCTAAACAATTAATGCTTAAAATTTTTTAAGAATACCTCCAAAAATATTTTCGATAATTTGCATTTACTCCCTAATATATTATCAGAATAACATGATTTTCCATTAAAGAATTTGAAACTCGATCCTCTTAATATTCATGTTTAATGCTTGTGTCAATTTCAAACTTCATAAGGACCGGATTTCGTACAAGCTAAGAGATCCAATTTTATTTAATTTTTCTCAATAATTTGTGCATCTTTTCCACATCATTCATTAGAATCACATTTTTTTTATGGGTGGATTCAAATCCCTATAGCCTTAATATTCATCATTCTGGTTGATTCAAACTTTATAATGTGCACATTACACATAAATTCAGAGCATAGAAAAAAATATATTAGCCACAAGAAATTTCAGGTTCCAATCAGAGAGCCAAAAGACAGCAGGGATGGACATCAATAAAATCCATGCTTCCAGAAGACCTTAAAGTGGAAAAAAAAGTATACCTTCTTTCAGCATTCTTTTACTTAGTCTGCCACGTCTTGATGAGCCTTCTAAATCAGCCGAATCATAAGCCTCACAATTTGAGTCAATTTCTGTCCAGTCTGGGGGAGAGTACCACCTTATGAAGTCTTCTAAAGCACAACCAGGATTTGCAGCCTGCTAAGAGGTACATGTTATTTAATATGTAAGAGACAATACCGAGATGATCTGATTAAAATTTGCAATACACTAGAAAAATAACAATGCAAAGATTTTAGGATTGTCTTTTGCACATATAAGACTTGCCTTGAAAGCTTGCATGTCGGAGAGCAGCTGAGAACATCCAGCACCAAAACTGCCATTTAAAACTAAATAAATTATTAAGACAGTCATGCTTCCAAAAATACACTCGAAAAGCAATTTAAATGATTTATACTATATCTAGTTTTGACTACTTTGAATACCCGAACTTCATGGATTTCACTGTCTTTTGTTTATTTATTTATTATTATTACTACTATTATTTTGCTAGGATTTTCTCAACTCTTTTCCTGGCACAGTTCATCTTCCTGTATTGTCCACTGGCTCTATTTTTTGTGATTTCTTTGTATCAATGTATCACTATCGTTTCTATTCGAGGGTCTTCCGCCTGGATATATTGCTGTTCTTCCACCTATGACCAATTAATATTTTTCTATCATTATCCGGATTCTACCTGAGATCTCTTGTGAGAACAAATTTCCATCTTTATAGGCAAGGAGAGTTGTAGTCATTAATGGATTCAAATAATAGCTGACTTTGATAGTAAATTAGAGGGTCTAAACATTATAAATTAGGGTTCATGAGTGATGTTAAATTTAACTCAGTTGATATCTAACTTTCGAGTTAAAATGACTTCATTTTTATAAGAATGTTGGCTTGATATGACCCTCTCCAGCGTTGATATGATTGAAAACTATAAATTTATAAAAAGCTATCTTTGTGTATTGGCATGAGATTTTACTTGTTACTTGGTGATTTCTTTGCATATCTCTATTTCAATTCACTAAAATTAGTTCTCGTTTTCATGTAAGATTGATTGCAAACAGATTAATACAACATATCTTTTTGATTGGTATAAATTTTAGCTCAAATGCGTGAATATTTTATGATCGTTAATTTCCAAACAAGGGTATTGTTAGATGACGGGTAAACCATTAATTTTTCCGATAAGAAAAATTATTATTCGAGTATGGATTTTGTATATTACTTGTTTTCGTTTTGAAGCGAGGATTAATTGTCCAAAATAGAAATTTGACCTTGAACGTATGATTTTGTGCATCTCCTCCTATAGACGCATTAGAGAACTCTAAACTCTAAGAGGTCATGTATCAGATTTAGTGAGAGTTAAAGTTGTTTCATCATACTAACAAGAAATAAGACAACAATCAAAATAAAAATGAAGCAAATATACAAAGTCGATTAAGACATGATTCGAAACAACTTCAATACAACTATAATGGGGTTGAAAACTATATTCTAACATTCAATGAGTGATATAATATATAAAATTTCTTCTATTATTACAGTATATTTAATTCATAAAGAGTTGAATTTGCTAAATCAAAATTGAAAGGGCATGTAGTGAATATACAAAATAAATTTTTAATCAATTTAAAAATTATAAATGAAGAGACTATGGAATGCTTGGAAATTATACAAGATTTAAAGGTCATGTAGACAATATTATTTGCTTCGAGAATATTATGTTATCATTATCTATTTCATTAAGGGTTTCAGATAATAATTAAGAATGAGCTAAGCTAAAATTCATCTAAAACATTACATTTAGCTTTATCAAAGCTTTCAATATTGAGAAATAATTTAACCATTCATTGCTAGGACCACATCCCTTATGACTGATATGAAAAATCATTAACATCTCTTCTAAAATCGAATTATGAACTGTTGAATTTGATCCTATTTAAGAAACTGTTGAATTTGATCCTATCAAATTTAATAAGATGCTGAAGAAGATATACACTTTGGCTGTCATAAGCTTTGAAAATTGAGAAATAATACAACAATTTTTTGTTAGGACTACATTCTCACGCAGGAGTTTACCGTCGCGGTACTGTAATAGCTAAAGCATTGCGTCTATACTACCAAATGCCTATTTGGTCCCTTACCTTTTCTATGTCTTTCCTATTCTAACTACTAGTACTTATTATAAATATGTTGTTTGTTGTCTTAGAACTAGGTTTTGATGAGTTTTATTTCAGACTTCTGTCTGAACAACCGCTAACATTTGTTTTCTCATTCGAGGACTACATCTGAGGGATTTGGGTGGTGCTCTGGCTATAGCTCTCTCCCTAGGCGGCGACTATCTTCCTTCAATCTCCTTCCGCATATTTCCACATCGCTCCTTGTCGTTGTACCTCACTACAGTCGCCCGCAACAACATCCTAATTGTTGTTTTCAGCAGCCCCCAGCGCCTTCCACTCCCTCGTCCTCGCTGCCCTCGCTGTCCCAGCCCTCCACCTTCGCAGCAGCAGCATGCAACGCCTTCCCTTTGTTGTTTTCCTGCAGTCCAACTGCCCCAAACAACAACTTATTGTTTAGATTGCCGCCCCGAGTTGTCTTACTGTTCCAGCTGCCCCTAACCGTTGCCACCCCTCATCCACAGTCTGGAAACCCTTTCCCTACCTTGCCGCCACCGCATCACTTCTCCGATCCCCCTAACGGTCAACACCATCACCTGAGATCCGCCCTAAAGCGAGTTGTGTGTCGTGTGTTGTATTTTCCTTTTCAAGTGTGCTTCCAATAATAATATTTGCTTTTCCTAATAAGATTTGGGTTAACTTTGATATCATTTGATATCAGAGATAGTCTAACCCTAGTCCTATTCTAGGGTTTTCTAGCATCTACCCCTACCCAAGTCACCTCCACAAAAATTTTTCTTTCCTATTCCCAAATCCTAGCCAAATTTTGACTAACCTTAATTTCCCAAAGTCTCGTGCACCCTCATTCACTTCTCAACCCTAGCCACACCACCCAGGATATACATATGTGAGCCTACCCGGGAGGAGATACAGTGAGAGATCCGCCGACTTCAGCGGAAGCTTGCAAATATTAAGGATGGAACACAGGGGTAAATTACCCTCGACCGAGATCTAGATAATCAAAGGGAAGCAAGAGACGAGGATTTGAATCCCTTCCATAAGGACTTTACTGATGCAGAAGACTGGCCACGACACCCTAGAATCCGGTATCAAATGAGGTCGAGAGAAGAGCCAGCATATGGGGAATGGGAGAATCTGAAGATGAAGCATGAGATCCAATGTCAGTTCCTACCAGCTTACTATAGACAGAAGATTCAGACTCTAGCTTCAGAAGTGTAGAGACCACATCGTCGGGCGACCACCATGTCTTATGCAGCGCCCAATCTCATGGTCTTACAGCCAGATTACACCCAGGAGAATATCCAAGCTAACACCATCAAAGGAAAAGCTGAGTCAGAGTGGAGAACAGGTGAAACTAATCAGCATCCCTAAACCAATCCAGCCAAGAAGTGTTGCAAGTGCTACGAATTTGGGCATGTTGAATCAGACTGCACAACCAATGAGTGACCTATTTCACGAAGCAGAGCGTTCTTGAAAAATTGAGTGATGACAATGTAAAAACTGAAGATGGTGAGGACACAGCATAACGAACAGCTTCCAGTTGAAGAGATAAACAGTGATCTGAAAGAAGATGCAGATTTCAGAGGATTCTCAATTTTCAGCCAACGAAAAAAAGACTCCACCGATTTCAGTTGACCCCAAGATAGAGATTCCACCAAAGGTAACAGTAGTTATCCTAGAAGATAGTAACTCTGATGTAATGGGCACTCCTGCAAAGTACGAGATTATGGTGGCTCGAGCTAGCATTTTGCAGGCATTAAGAAGAGCATTAACAGCGTCACGACTCGACCCGATGCTTAGAATTACTAAGACGGGTAAAGAAGTCAAACGATTTTAACATCTAACTATTCACATTTTGAAAACTTCTAATACATGTAAAAGATTCATTAATCCACAAAGTGTTATAAAATCTAAAATAACCAGAAACAATAATATCCACTCAAGCCAGTACTAAACAGTGTATCAATATCTGAAAAAAAAAAGATTAGGAGAAACTATCACCATAAAAAATACCTAGCGGCAGCGATCCTCCTCCAATAAACAAATCTCTCATATTAGACATATAAACCTAAAACTTTTTTTCCCGAAAGAAACCATTAATTGCAACTGTAAGTACAATTTAGTGAGTAATTATAATATAATATGCATTAAATTTTATGTTATACTATGCATGAATGACCAATAGAAAATGCAGTTAATTTCATTAAAACATTAAATTTATCCATTCCCATTTCACTTTAAGTATTTACCGTTTTTAATATTTTGACAAGTTATAATAGAATTACTCTCATATCCGAAAATATCCTCAAAAAATGTGCTCGAAAGCACCATAAAAGAAGAGTTCAAAGGCACCCTCAAAATTATGTATAAAGATACCCTCAAAATTGTACCTGAAGATACCCTCAAATTGCAGCTGAAGGCAGACCTTTATTATTTCTTTTAACCTGCATGTATATTACATCCCCTCTGCCAGTACCATCTGAGGGTAATTCTGTACGACTTAAACATTTACAGTTTATTTCATTTCCTTTAAATTACCTCATTTTAAAGACATTAAACATTCATTTTCCCTTTTCTCATTTATTTCCTTTCATTTTGGTAAATGTTTAAGTCATACAGGATTACACAATACTGTCAGAGGATACAATGTACCCGTGTACGTTAAAGAAAATGGTAAAGGTACACCTTTGGATTTAATTTAAGAGCACCTTCAAATACAATTTTGAGGGTTTCTTCGGACATATTTTTAATGGTGCATTTGGTCACATTTTTTAGGATACCGTCGGATACGACGGTAATCCTGTTATAACTTCTAAAAAAGTCAAAAACGGTAAATACCAAAAGTGGAATGAGAAGAGATAAATTTAAAATTTTAATGAAATTAAATGTATTTTTTAATGGTCATTGATGCATAGCATAGCATAACATAAAATTTAATGCATACTAACTTATAATTACTAACCAAGTTATACTTTCTTTCAGTAAAAGAAAAATTTTAGGTTGACAAGTCTAATAGAAGAGACTTGTTTTTACTAGAGAAGAATCATTGTTGCTAAATATTTTTTATGATGATAGTTTCTCCTTACTATTTCTTTCAGATATTAATATGATGTTTAGTACTGGCTTGAGTGGATGTTATTGTTTTTGGATGTTTTAGATTTTATTATATTTTGTGGATTAGTGGCTCTTTTATATGTATTGAAAGTTTTCAAAATGTGCATAGTTAGATTTTAATGTTGTTCGGCCGTTGTACCCACCTTGTTAATTTTAAGCACCGGGCTGGGTCATGAGAAAAGTGGTATCAAAGCAAATAGGTTTGATCATGATTTAAAAGAGTCATTAGAATGATCACTCAAATTCATAAGTAATATTGATGAGGAATTAAATTGTATCTAGTTATAATTTTTCTTTAGCTATTTCAAAGATATAGAAAATTCGAGGGATGAAGCTAGAGATGATATTCTAGAAGTTGATGAGGTCTCGTAGATTACAGTGAATACTAATATATTTACTGAGATGATGACTGCAGTAACACAGTTGATTAAAAGCTCTCACACTCAGTCTAGTTTCAGTGGAGGAGGTCAGATGGATAAGTACCTAAAATTATTTCAGGATATGAGACCACCTTTCTTTTTTGGAGGAGGTTTAGTAGATGCTAAAAACGGGTTGCTGAGAGTTAAGAAGAACTTAGATGGTTTGTCTTGTCCTCCAAAGAAAATGATTACACTGACCACATTTGCATTAGAGGGATAAGCAGAGAAATGGTGGCGTGGATAGTTGCAGGAGAAATTTGGTAGTAAAACCAGTCACGTGATTTAGTGGGGCGAGTTCGTTAGCACCTTTAGAGACTGATTCGTACCACTATCGGCCGAGAGTCAAATGCAGGATAACTTTATCATATTAGTATAGGGTGATCACTCGATTATGCATTATGAAACTGATTTCACCACTCTCTCAAGGTATGCACTTCAGTTGATTTCTAATGCAAAGGAGAAGTGTCATTAATTTTTATTTGGGCTCAGAGATGTGATTAGACAGCCTTTGATTCCTCTTGGAATCGATGATTAATCTGTTCCAGTGGAGAGAAGTAAGAGGATTGAGCTGGATCTGGAGGCTACTCAGAGGAGGAGGGACATTCATAAGAGAAGAAATTCAGAAGGATCCACGTTTCCTCAATGCTCTCAAAGCAGGCATTCCTTTATGTCAGGTAGCACAAGTGCTAAGAAGGCAAGATCCAGCAGAATCAACATCCAGCTTGAAGTGAAGAAGTGTGACAAATGTGGAAGGTCTCACAAGGGTAAGTGTCTATCCGGATCGAATACTTGCTTTTGGTGCCATCAATCAGGACATATGACAAAAAATTGTCCTAAATTGGATCAGAGGGCTCCAACAGATTCCAGAGGTAGTGTTGCACCACCTCAGAGGAGCTACGGTAGACCAAGAGCAACTGAATCTTCAGGGTCAAAGCCAAATGCAGGTCAGACTCAGCAGAATGTTCAGCCTTGTATATGCATTATCACAATAGAAATCTAAGGACTCCATTGATGTCATCGCAGATTTATTTTTTTTTAATAATTTCAAATCAATGCACTTTAAGTATCAAAGGATTCATGTCATTTCATACATAAAACAAGGATTTATATATATTAATAAGCGAACTCTAAATATTTAATGAGATGATTTTAATGATAGGTATTATATATCTTCAAAGTAGATCGATATGAATATTATTTGATTTGGGAGCATTATATTCATTTATAACTGCTGAATTGGCTAGAGTAATGCAATTGAATGTTATTTCAATAGTTGTGATACTGTCAGTTCGAATGTCAAATGACGCTTTCCTAGAAGCTAATAAATCATGTGAGGTGGAGTTTAAGATTGACAGAAAGAGTTTTAATGCTCAACTTATTATGTTGTCCTTGGCGGAATTCAATATGATTTTAGGCATTAATTGGATTTCTGAAAACTTTGTCACTATTGATTGCAACAAGAAGACTGTTAAAATAAGTGTACCTAGGGAAGCATAAACTAAATTTTCTGGTGACAGAGGACTAACATTTATGATAATTACCGCATGAAAGCTTGCAAATTGTTGAATCATGTAAGTTAGGGTTTTCTTGCTTTGATAGCAGATACTTCTAAAGAAGTGAAGTCTTTGGGTGATATTCCTGTGTTAAGAGAATATCCAGAGGTGTTTCTGGATGATTTATCAGTGTTATCACCAGTCCGGGAGATTGATTTTAGTATTAAACTCTTAGTAAGTTTTGAGCATGTATCCAAGGCACCTTACAGCATGACAGTTAAGGAGTTGCAGGAGCTGAAGAACCAACAGCAGAAGTTACTCGATAAGGGATTCATCAGGCCTAACACATCATCTTGATGAGCCCCAATATTTTTTGTGAAAAAGAATGATGGAGCTTCATGATGTATATTGATTACAAGGAGTTGAATAAGCTTACAGTTAAAAATAAATATCCACTGTCGAGGATTGATGACTTGTTTGATTAGTTGGAAGGAGTTTCTACATTTTCAAAGATTGATTTGAGATTAAGCAATCACCAGTTGAAGAATAAAGAAGAAGACGATGAAGACTGCTTTTAGGACCAAATATGACATTATGAATTCATGATGTCGTTTGGACTGACAAATGTTAGACAATTTCTAAATTCCTTTTTGATTGTCTTTATAGATGATATTCTGGTGTATTCAAGAGATGAAGTAGTCATACATGCCATTTGTATGCTGCCCTGTTGATTTTGAAGGAGAATACACTTATGTCAAATTTTCTAAATGTGAATTTTGACTGAAAAATATGGCTTTTTTTGGGCACATTATCAGTGCAAACGACATATTTGTGAATCAAAATAAGGTGAAAGCAATTACAGATAGGCCAACACCTACTACTGTTACTGAGGTCGGGAGTTTTCTAGGTCTAGCTGGTTATTACAAGAGATTTGTTGAGAGGTTTTCACAAATTGCTATGCCACTATCAAAGTTAACTCAGAAGGCGGTGAAGTTTGAATGGTCTGATCATTGTGCGGAGGCCTTTCAAAAGCTGAAAACTTGCTCCATGTCTACTCCAGTTTTAGCCATTCCTTCCAGTTCTGATTGGTTTTAGATTTTCAGCGATGCATCTTTGAAGGGCTTAAGTTGTGTACTTATGGAATATGATAAGGTCATTGCATATGCATCACAACAATTGAAGAATCATGAAAGAAACTATTCTACACATGACTTGGAGCTTGATGCAGGTGTTTTTGAACTCAAGATATGGAGGCATTATCTTTATGAGGTTAGATGTGAAGTTTTCACTAACCACCAGAGTTTTAAATATATTTTTACTCAGAAATAACTGAATCTGAGGCAGAGGAGATGACTGAAATTTATTAAAGATTATGATTTGGATATCAATATCATTCAAGTAAGGAAAATATTGTTGTTGATGCACTGAGTATAAAAACTTTTGGTAAATTGAATTATTTATTTACGTAGCTAGAGCAGTTAATTAAAGATCTGAAGAGGCTGAGGCTGACTATAGTTGATTATGGTGATGATAATATGACTCAGTTATATCAGTTGACAGTGCAGCCAACTCCAAAGGGCAAAATTGCAGATTCTGTAGCCAGAGATGGCAATATTTAGAAAGTTCTAGAGCAAGTTCAAGCAGGCAATTTGGAGAGATATATGATTGATCATGATGGTTTATTGAGGTATAAAGGTTTATGTTCCAGATGTTGATGATTTGAGGAAGGAAATTTTGGAGGAAGCACATCTACCCGGATATACTATTCATCCAGAGAGCAATATATAGAGTACCTAGTTGTTTTACGCAAGTGCACGTATATTTCAAGTAATATAAGACTTTCTTTAGTCCAAAGTATCGATCCCACAAAGAAGGTTGTTAATTGTAAAAACTTAAGAAAAGTTCTAACTGAATAAAAATAGACTTAGCTTGGAAATAAGTTCGATTTAAAGTGAGCTAGTAAATTCTATCAAATTATCACTAATCCTATAAATTCACTATAAAGCTAATTTCACTATAGTCAAATAAAATAATAGAGTTCAAGCTATTAAAAATACCCTCCCCTTGCAATGAAATTAGTATGCAATGAAATTAGTAATATGGAGTAAAACACTTAGAAATGATATTGGAATTTTATGACAAATAGAAGCATTTATTTTATTTACCATTTTCCAAGTGCATAAAGAAATCAGGTTTAACTATGAAAGTGTTTCTGCCTATCACCCTAGAAATCTCAAAGTTACCCCCATTAAATGTATCTTCCCGTGTGTTTACACTGATCTACGGATTAGTTTTTTTTCACCATCAATGAGGGTTTTACTAGTTGTTAACTCCACCACCCACCCAAATCTTGATAGAGTCATAACAAATTTTAACACACCAAATGACCAGATTGATATGTAAATGAAGCTTGTAGTAAAAACCATCACAAGCATGATAAAATTCATTTTAAATGAATCCACATACATAACTAATATTTATAGTGAAAGCGTGTGATGCTAAGCCAAACAAAAATCTAAGAGCTTGATGTACTTTGAAAAAATATTGAACCAGCGGAAGCGAATGAAATAACCTGCCAGTACGCAGCACTAGTTCCTCAGTTTCTTTAATAAACTCTTCTGTTAAGATGGGACCCTCCTGCATATTAGTGAGAATGTAAAATTAGGGAAAAAAATATAAGAACACAGGCACTTTGAGACAATGTTTTGTAAAAGCGGTACCTGTGTAACTGGATGACATATGGGTTCGCCAGTTTCCAACATTGTTAAATTTTCAGAAAGATGATCAACCCCAAGTCTAAGAATATACTCTCCAGTGATGAGTCTAGCATATCTCATGCTATTTAACTTCTCAGGGGAGTAAATCAAATCATTTTTGGCTAGACTAGCTTCCCTTATTACAGAATCCAACGACTCAATAGCAGCATTTCGCTTTAGCTTCCTAGAAATACAACAATTAACCAGCTGCAATTGCTGATGCAGCCGACAAGAGTCTAAATCAGGATTTGCATCCAGTGACATTCGTGGAACTGGTAATCCTTCAGACCATCGTCTCCTAAGCTGCAGACAAAAATGTAAAGTACTCCAGTTAGAAGATTAGAAATGTTTTTCATTTTAAATGTCAAACCAAATTCTACTTTATTAACCATAGATATTGAAAGTCACTATCAAAAAAATGTGAACTAGCACAACTTAGTGAAATTGGATGAAAGATAAGACGAGATTGATCATACAAGGTGTATGACCTATAAGTTACACTTAATTTCTCAGTGAAAGATTTTTAGAGAGTATTTTGTCTCTCTTTAGGTAAGTACCAAAATAAACTTAGATCTGCTGAAGTAGAAATTAAAAAGAACCCTGCGACCTTCAGAAATTGCCAGAAGCAACTGTTGCTCGGAAGTAAAAAATGCTTTCAACAAATACAAATGAAGTTCAATTGTTTAAGATTTTCTAGTCTTTAAGTAAGATTATATTTTTATCTCCTTTGCCGGGAACACATTGCATCTAAAGTTGGAAAGCTTGTTTAATTAATATGCCCTTTCAAGTTTATGAAAAACCTCAGCTTCTTTAACTCCTGTAAGAAAACCCATGTCAGAACGTTAAGAAATTATCTGTAAACTCAACCTCCTGATAATAGCATTGGTGTCATTATTAGCCTAATTGGCTAATCTTAATCCGTAATTTATATTCACGCTTGTTAAATCTTAATTAAGGTATTAAATATATTTTCACTAATATTTTTTATATTTTTTATCCATTTTATAGGAGATAAGCCTATAAGAGTTGACTTGTACCTTCTATTGTACATGTCTATAATACCTTTTTTCATCATCAGTACCTCATTTTCAATTAGTAATGTGATAGGATCTTCATATATTCTCTTATCAATCTACAATTCTTAATTTTATAAAACATCCATATTGACATTCTAATTTTAGCCACAAATTTTGTTATTAGCAACTTCATTATTGCCGACACTCAGTTCCATTAGGTATAGCTGATCTAATCAAAGTTTTATAAAATTTATATTATGATAATATTCTCTTATAACAGAAAAATGTTGAGGCACTTCCTCATTTTAATCACCTAACATTAACTTATCCAACTATATATCCACATTCTCCTATATAATAAATCCAATAGCACCATGAAACTAGATCAGAAAAAAAATCTGCAATTAGAAAATGAAATTAATATCCTCTCCAATGAATAAAAAAAAAACTTACTTCAGCGATAACCCAACCCCAAAAAAGTGCCATTTTCTGAAGGGATTTGAAGCCTCCAATAACTTCAGCAAGTTTGACTGCAAAGCTCTCAGGTGGTGCGCCTCTAATGTCCTTATGCATAAATGTGACGGGAAGGGAAGTTAAACCAGAACCACAATTCGTATGGGCATACGGTTTCTCTGTGAATATCTTGCAGGAATTATAAATAATGTGAAGAACCATCAAAGGAACAAACAAGAAAGACTACCTAAATCAAATAAAAACTGTATCTTGGAGTGAAGCTCATCATCATCAGAAAAATCAGAAAATGAATTGTCATCCTTTTCACGAAGAACCAAGGACTTAACAGCAGAAAAGCTCAAGCCGGATTTTTCCTTGGTTAGCAATGGATCCTCAACTAAATTCAAAAGATTTCTTGAGCATAGAAAATTTTTCCCAGCCCTGTTGCAAAGGAGCAGAGGTTCTAAGAAATCGTTATTCTGAAGCACATGCCATAATGAACGGTCATCTAGTGCATATGGGGTATTTCTTCTTAATCATAAATTGACTGGAAATATGGACAAAATTGAACAAATATCTTATTAAGAAATTGTATTTACAGAAATATCTTACTCATAAGCTTCAGCGAGCCGCCTTAGAACAGAAGCTGGAGGAATTGTTAACTTGTTAGAGAAACTATTTACATATTGGCTTGCAGCAGAGCATGCTTCAGAAATCTGCAAGTACGAAAATCATTACACGAAAAAGAGGCTACTAGCAAATTTCTCTTCACTGAATGGAATGCACTGATGTATAAATGCAAAGAACCCAATTAAGGCTGCAGGATTTTGTCAAAAAAAGGAAGAATAAAAAGAAAAAGGCTATTAGTGGTTTTAAATGTTGTCATAGTTCAAATAAAATGTTAAAAATATTAAAAATTAAAAATTTTTCATTTATCAAAACCTTATTAACTCAAATTCACCTAAAAACATTAAAAATCAAACCTTTTCATTTATCAAAACCTTATTAACTCAAATTCACCGGGTATAATATAGTAATGATATTATAATGACATAGTGTCATTGATTGCTTAAAAATAAATTAAAATACTTGAATCTGCAAAACAAAACTAACTTAAATTAGCATACATTAAAATATAATGATGGAGTTCATCTAGAAAGAAGTACCAGACTCTCAATTCTATCTGCATGTCTTTTTAAATTCAAAGTCACAGGTATCATGAGATGCATCTTTCTACATGGCCAGTGGAAGAAGAACAAGGCAGCATAAAGATTTACTAATATTGGAAGATGCAAAGTGTTTCATGCCACGGAAAATTATTGATGTAAAATAAAGGCATGTAATATGCCCTGGCAATTTATCAATTTTGAGCCAGTAAAAGCACTTATTGCATATAACATTAGAAGAAACCAATAATTTTTCTATCCTTCAGCACCAAAACTACCTTCATCTACCGCTCCAACAAGACCCAAGCAGCTCCCTTTGAAGAGATCAAACAATTAGTCAAGAAGGTGATGAGACATTTGTTTGAGAACTCTAAAACATTTATTTGCTTGAATTTAAACCACTTACTAAACAAGTAAAAGGACTGCAGCTAAAAGAAGAGATATTTAACATCAAGTTTCAAGCTTATTAGATATCCTTTTTTTCTTAAATAGCTCAAACAACGCCATACTAAAACAAATAAGAGAAAGTGCCTAGTCCAATGAATCATGAATAGAGTTTCTCTGGGATTTAAAGTAGAAACTGTAAGCATCTACATGATCTATGTTTATAGATCTAGAACTTTATTCATCAGCAGTCAAGGTGAGGTCCATCTGCAAAGCAAAGGAACCATAAGTTTTATCAAGGCAAAATATTTAATCTTGTCGAGTCTGAGGGTCCAGGAATTGAAAATCAGGTCAAAAATGGAAAAGCTCCTTCTTTAACTCTAGCGAGTTATAGAAAACTTTCATATTTCCTCCCGGTATTAGAATCTAATATTCTACAGCAGCTATTCCCAAACCCAGGTTACACACTTAATATTTAATTTTTTTCTCGGTAAACAAGCTCCTAGGCATCCTTATCATAAAAACTTTAGGTTTGTCCTTTGAGAGGTGATCACACACCCCATGCCTCAATAGACACATATATATAAACTTTGTTTTTCTTTAAAAAGGGCAAACATTAAGAAAAAATCCGTGTAATGGGAGAATCTTAAAGTGAATAATTTACTCTCCAGCTTTTCACTTAAGATAATAGCAAATATCTCTCTCTCACACACACACACACAAAAAAAAAAAACTTACATCAGTCTCTGTCTAATCTTAATCATTCTTCACTATAATTCAGCCACCTTTGAAAGGTGACCATACACCCTAATTTGGGAGACTTTTAGGAGCACGTCATCTCTGCTTATCATGCAGGGTAATGTGGAGCTTCATTTAAATCCCAATTCTTGTCATATTCAATTAGTAATTCTGTAGTTTTCCATCATACTAAAAGGTTCACCATAATATCCAATTATATGTTCCCAAAAATTAAGAACTCTAATTCACAAAATCTGGCTAACAACTTCTAAAATTGTAAAATGCATCAAGATTTTGCATGAACAAGGTCAAGTTGAGATTTCTGCCACAAGAACCTGTAATGAGTTCAATGTATGTGTTAACAATAGAGCTCAAAACAAGGCCAAAACCTTGGTTTGCAGTAACATATAACGAAAAAAACAAATTTCCACATAAGCAAAAGCTGGAAAAAGCAACATATTCATTACAACGTCAATATAGAATGCAGATTATAGCATATACTATGATGAAAATGCCGATCAGAAATAATCAAATGCTTGTTATCCATGCCTTTTAAGGTTGTCCATCAGTTCACATGTAGCAACTTCACAAACTGAACTTTAAAAAGAGCATGCTAAATGTTCCTAAAATCTAGCAGAGTAAGTTAAAGACAAATAAAAAAGCTAAAAATCCTTCAAATTTTTACTGATAAACATTTTTACAATTCAGTTCAACAAACAAGCATGCGCACTAAAAATAAATCTAAGAAAAAAAAAGGAATAAAGATAACCAAAACAAAAATAAAGACAAGAAAGTGATGGTGCGTTGGTCTAGATTCAAGAAAAGTTCCAACTGATTTTTTTTCAATTGCAAGCATGGCATACACATAAAGTTAAAGCTCCAACCATCACATTCAAGTTGAATTCCCATAAAAGCATCTGAACTCATAATCCAAAAAATTCCAAAAACGAATCTATTTCCAATTTACAGCACAGTTATTGAGCTTCCTGATAAACATTTTTACAATTCAGTTCAACAAACAAGCATGCGCACTAAAAATAAATCTAAGAAAAAAAAAGGAATAAAGATAACCAAAACAAAAATAAAGACAAGAAAGTGATGGTGCGTTGGTCTAGATTCAAGAAAAGTTCCAACTGATTTTTTTTCAATTGCAAGCATGGCATACACATAAAGTTAAAGCTCCAAAAGAAAATAAAATTAAGTTCACCTCATGCCTTGGCTTGCTAATTCCATCGTCTCCAGCGGATACCCGGCCCTCCATTTTCTTGAAATCCTTCTTTCCGTGCAAATCGACATCTGCAGCAAAACCAACATCAGAAGCTACTCCAGAAGCAAGATTCTCCGAGCATTAAATTCTACCACGATCATTCTTCAAGTCCGCCTTGATCTCGGTGAGGACTTTCTCAGCTCGGGCCGCGGCGGAGTGCAGGGCGGTCTTTGCCCTAGACACGAAAGAGCGTGCAGGAAAGGAAGCGCCGCCGACGATCCCTGCCGCGTCGACGGCGGGGGAGGAGTAAAAATTAAATTACTAATTTAAAAATCCCATAGAATATTCAAACACGAGTAAATGTACTTAGAGTTAAATCTGCATTATATTCTCTTTAGTCTCCCTGTAATCTATTTGAAATCTACTTATACTTTTTAGTAAGTTTTAAACTTATAGATAGGGTACAGGTAGGTTACAGAGAGGTTATAGGGGGTATAACACGGGTATAACCCCCAATACACTCCCTATAACCTACCTAACAAACGCAGCGCTGCGTACGTCTTACGTACGCAAATTTTCTCCAGCAATAGAGGAGTTTAAAATTCTGAAAAATATTTAAATGTCTTGTAAAATATGATTTTTTGGAGTAAATGTATGGCGACAGCAATTGGAGAAAAATTTGGGCCTAGGCACAGCTAGGTTATATTGAGGGTATTTAGAGTTATATCTGCATTATATACTCTTTAGTCTCTTTGTAATATATTTGAAATCTACTTATACTTTTTAGTAAATTTTACGTTTATAGGTAGGGTACATGTAGGTTACAGAGAGGTTATAGGGGGTATAACGCGGGTATAACCCTCAATACACTCCCTATAACCTACCTAACAAACGCAGCACTGCGTACGTCTTACGTACGCAAATTTTCTCGAGCAATAGAGGAGTTTAAAATTCTAAAAAATATTTAAATGTCTTGTAAAATATGATTTTTTATTTGCCTTATATTTTTTATTGCAGGTTAAGAAAATTTATTTTTCATGTTAAATTTAATTACAAGAGTTCTTAACTCAAAATTTATATTGAGATTCATGCTTTGCTCAGGTAATATAATGTATCCTTTTTATTAGGGGGATGGACCAAACAAATTTAGTAAGTTAAATATTTTTATTTTTTAAAGAATTAATTTTATACATATCACCCAATTCCTTTGTCTTTGCATATGTAGTTTGTAAGTTTTATTTTTTACATTTGTACCACACAAATCTTTTATATCAAATAAAAAATATAACAATTTTAACTTAAAAAAAATGTAAAATAAAGCTACTAATACATAGGTAAAGTTGTATGTATGTATAAATTAAAATAAAATTTAGGTATTAAATATATAAATACATAGAAATTGAGTGGTGGCTATGTAAATCTTCCTAACTATTTATTTATTTTACAAAATTTCAGCAAAAAAAAAATAAATTTAGGAGATGCATAATTTCTCATTTTGAAGACTTTTCAATTCCACCCTTCTCTTTCTTTTAGGGCAGAGATAGGAGAAATATTTGCGTACATAAGACGCACGCAGCGCTGCGCATGTCAGTTAGGTTACAGGGAGGATATTGAGGGTTTTACTTCGCGTTATACCCCATGTAATCTCCATGTAACCTACATGTAACTTAGGAATATATGAAAATAGAAGTGCGGAGCTTCCTAGTTACAGGTAGGTTACAAAGATATTACAGAGGGTATAACGTGAATATAACCTCCAATACCCTCCATGTAATCTATCAGACGTACGCAACCCTGCGTACTCCAGAGATAGAGTGAAAAAAAGAGCAAGGATTAATTAAAAGCTGACTTAAGTCATTTAATTAATTCATTAAATCTAAAATCATAGGTCATAAGTGGACCTGCTATCTTCTTTAGCTGTTTATGAAATGTTCAAAAATAAATAAAAAAATAAAATAAAATAATAATGCTGACGTCAATGAAAAATAGTCTTGAAGTAGTTCGAAGAAATATTGGGTCGCTGACGCACACAAATGGTTTGAGAAGTCAAAGAAATGGGATCCAGTTGACTTTTTAATCGTGTGTTAGCGACGAAAATGAGCATTTACATCCATATCACACAATTTTTATGTATTTACATATTAACATATAAGATTTCATATTTATATTCATGATACTAAACATTTAAGATCATATTAAGAATGTCATCATCATCATTTTATAAGTAAAATATTTGATTTATAGAGCCAGTATGTTAATAGTGTAAATACCAAAATTTAGGCGTTAGAAATATAAATACTTAAAAATGATAAGCTACTTGTTTAATCTTCAGACTGTAGAGTACTGGAGATTAAATGATAAGTTTGCGCGTCTTTTAATTGAAAAGTGTGTGCTAAGTTGATTTTAAGATTATTAAATTATTTTAAATGAATATATTATGTTAAAAATAAGTATATATATATATATATATATATATATATATTTTGTGAACACACCTCGAGAATTAGAGTCCACTGAAGAAGAGAAGAGAGTATGGCGGTTCAAGATTTGTTGTAGAGAGAATTTAGATGGGAGAGCGAGTTTGTTCCCTTTAATCGTATTATTGACTCTTATTTATATTAGTATATTTTATACAGTGACAGGAAGGAGAAAATAGTTATGGAAATCGTTCTTAATATGATTTGTTGCTCTAATTAAATATACATAATTTATATCACATCTGTATTACAATTTGAATTGTTAACATCGCAGTAATTGCCTGGGCCGACTTGTTTGAGTTTAGTTGAATTAGGCGATTAGACGAGGGGAGACTATGCCTTCTGAAGTGTGTATCGGTCAATCGAGGCTCTTAGTTTTATGGAGATATTGCTCGTCGCGGGTCAGTGAGCCAATTGCGGTCGGTTGCTCCTATACGCACTTCAAGCGGTCGAGGCTACAGTTATGACTCGCTAGTCGAACCCTTTGTCATAGTGTATCAGCTGATCCTAATCGTGCAATCAGTCGTTGATTAATCGGATGCTTTGATTGTTCAACTGTTATTTGAACTATCTAGTAGCTTTGAGATTCATGCTGGTATTTTCTGGTGTATACAAATTAATTCCCCGAGTTTTCTTACTCCTTAACAACGACAGCTACAATAAAAACTGAGAAAATTATTAAACAATTGTTAGCATTAAATTCATGGATTGATTGAGCATTTGCTCCATACTAGTCTCCAATAGGCATGAACTGAGCATTGTATCATTTGTCATCAGTTTCTATTTTTACAGCTCAAGAGCATTATGGCTAACTATTCGAACCGGATCACCGTGGATCCTCAGAGACTGGCGAAAGGCGGGGTTTCAAATCTCTTCCTCCGCAAAGAGGAAGACGAAGGAAAAACAAGCAAAGGTCGAGCTTAATTTGGTCGACGTAGTCGACTCATTTGATGACGTTGAAAGTTAGTCGCTAATGAGGCCTCATCAAGAGGTTTGGGAGACTAGTATGGGCTTGAACTTCTAGGACCAACCAATCCTTCGGGCTGAGGCAAGCGGAAAGGAGCTAGAAGGAGCGGTTGTCACGATCCATCCTCGGTCGTTGCTACAGGAAAGCAGGGGTGCCTCGACACAAGAGGAAGAGAAGACCTTTAAAACTCTCTCTCTTCCCTGGAAAGATTCATAGATGAATTGGGTAGGTTAAGGGATCGCCAGGATGGCGGGACGTCGAAAGATGCCACAGAATCTACTCCTGCTGCCGTAGTCAGTTCGCAAGTCATAGATGTTGGGCATCTGTTGTTGTCAACCCTGATTGTTCATCAACTGCTTGACCCCTCGCCCATGATAGATCTCCAACTAGTGAGACCAGCGGAAGGAACACCGCCCCCTGGAATAACGAACCAGCAGGCAAGACCGGATCGTTAGTGGCATTGATCGGCCCTCTCGAGGGAGTTATCGGGGATTTTGCTTCAGATCCTCTGCAAGTGCTATCTGTTCACCTGGATGCTAAAGTAGCAGCTCTATGGACGGAGCTAGTCACTCATCAAGGTGGGTTGACTGAGGTGCAGTGTGAGCTGAAGGTGCTTCGTGAGTTGTCAGATCTAGTGAGGTTCAACTGGGAAGCTGACTGGGTGGATCATATTATGTTAGGCAAAGAGTCGGTTCTCCAGAAGTTGAGGGGGCATGTCCCCTCCGAGGTCTTCGAAGACCCCCTCCGAGGTCTTCGAAGACCCGTTTATTAAATACTACATTCGAAGCATGTAATAATGTTATTTGTAGTACAACAACATTTTATTAAATTTTGAAATGATGTTCAGTGTGCCACTTATCATTATGTGATGCTTTGTTTTACGTGTCTGCCTTACAAATAGGAGAAGGGGTTGCTTCATTTCGCTTTACATGCTATTAGTTTCCTTTATTATCCTTCAGGCTTCTCTTCTTCCCTTGTCCCTTAGGTGTTTTTACTTTTTCCTTATGAGATGGTCCCCAAATACTCCCATATTCGGTTTGGTCCAATCAGAGGCACCAGATCTTCGTTGATGACAGAGGACAAGCCACCATTTGGTCTAGCTCATAGCTAGGACCGATTTCAACTCAAATTGAAACAAGAAGGAGGTTTGTGACATCAAGGCGAAGCTCTCTGTCAAGCACAATCAAGGCCGCAACTCTTGGGACAATGTATGGGTCAAAATCCCTAAAATTAGCCTCAAGTTTGGCCTTTTGAGAAAGAAATGAACAATACATGCTCATTGACTCGTATAGATAGCTTCGTCTAACTTAGATGAAGCTATATGGATAAACTCCTAGTGATTTGGTTGAGAAATGAGAGAGATCTTAGGGTTTGATCGTGGACAGTTCTCGGTTCTTAGTTCATTGGAGACGATGAACTGTTGTCATCCATTTCCGTGTATTAGAAATGAACGGTGCGGATTAAATCGAATCAACATACCATGGACAGGAGAACACCAGATCATAGAAAAGCGTGGCAACCACATGGAAAGTGCACCCAATCACGTAGTGTCGCGCGACCATTTGACAACTTCGAGATTCGAGTCAACACCGACATGTTTAAGTAGATAATTCGGGATTTTCAAATTAATGAAATCCAGAAAATCCCAAAGAACTTTAAAAATTCATAACTTAGTATAGAAAAATCATTAAAGTAAAATAAAAACATCGTTGAACTCAGTGAACAAAGATTAAAGTAAAATAAAAACATCGTTGAACTCAGTGAACAAAGAAGAAAATAATGAAAATAAAATTAAGAATAATTAAGTTATAATTAATTTTTAATTAATCAAATATTCTAGAGAGTGTTTAATTATT